CAGCCTGGCCGCAGATGCGCTTGGCACAGGCGCCCCCCCACTGGCTTGTCCCAACCAGGTCGAGGCAGCAGGCCCGGCTTGGCCACCCGGCTCGGAGCTATGGGCGTGCTGCCCAGGCCCCCTTGGCTGGAGAGCAGGGGAGGAGCGTCTGGTGCCTCCTTCGTCCCTGTAACACAGAGATCTCTGCTACAAGGGCCCAGATCTCAGAATACTTGCCCCAGTCAGTCCGTGAGGGGGAGCTTAGGAAGGGCTGGTGAGGATGCGCTTGTAGGCACACACCTAATGCAGCCGTCAAGGAGCTCCCCTCCTCTCCCCAAGGCCTGGCTGTGTGGCCCACTGCCCGGTGCTAATGGAGGCTCCCAAGTCCTCGAAAATGAAGGCCATCCACTGTCCTCTGCCTAAAAATGATGATCTCACACTCTTCCTAGGAGGACCAGGGTCTCTGAGGAGGCTGTCCCAGGACCCTACACTTGGCCAAGCTCAGGCCCTTTGTCTTTGCAGCTGTTTCCAAATCATTTAAGTGCAAGACCTCTCTTATTTCCCCTTATTTTCTTCCAAGTTGGAGAAAACACAGTGAACAATGGGTGAGCTGAAGTTAGACTTTTTGCCTCCAAACCTCACTTCACGTTTGCAATTACTGCCATGTGTTCTCCCACTTGTATGAGTTTCCTCAAGGAATTCTTTTCTTCGAATTCTTTAAATAATTGATTTCTCCACTGACAAACCTGAGCACCAAAAGCATCCATTCTGGAAAAAGTGCCAAACCCTGCACTGGTGCCCTCCAGCTGGCCAGCCCCTCTCCGCCCGTGGGGACCCACCCGCCTTCTCAGGGCGGCAGCACTCAGAGCCGCCCTTCTGCACAGCTCGCCCTGGACGGGGTGGCACCCAGCGGCCGAGGAGCGTGCGGTCTGCTGTCTGCACGCAGCATTGCCTCTTTCCCTCTGCAGCCATTTCCTCAGGAAAGGGTCCCTCTACAGGCTAAGGAACACCCAGCTCCCACTGAGTTTTTAATTTATTTCAAATGTTTTATCCTGAAAATAACCTACATAGGAAGATACATAAAATATGTATTTATGTTTACGTTTCACCAAGCAATAATAAAATGAATACCCAACCATGGCCTGCTGAGGTCACAGCCACCCAGGGAGGGGCCCCTGCTGACCCCTGCCTCACCCCAAATGTTCTAACAATCTTATCTCTTATGAGATAGTCAATTCCTCGCTTGTGTTTCATCCTTTAACAGTATACCATATTTCATAACACCTAAAACCATGTTGGTTATGAAATATGCCATTATTTATGTACAAATAAGAAAGAAAAATGCTGCAATTAAACTGACACTTCCTTGATTAGAATTTTCATTTTACACTTATTAAAAGATCCCTATGACTTATATGCACATAGATTTTATCACATACTACCTTGTGCATACATAAAAAGGAAAAGTTCAGCAAAATGTATTTGCTAAGGTTGTCTTAAAACAGCCTCATATTCAGATTCCACACCCTGCACGTCCGTTTCTGCCTCAGCTTGTCCACATCAGTCTCTCCCCTCTATGTCACCCTCTATGCAGAAAGCCTGCTAGACACTGGGAATCTCTTCCCATAGAGCATCCCCACTGCCTCGGGCCAGCTTACACACAGCTGGCGCTCACTCAAAAAGGGGGCATGGTGGTCTTTCCTTCAGAGTGACGCACACACCAACCCACAGTCAGGACCATTTGCCCTCTTCGGCCAACAAGCGGCAGCACCTTCAAACGTCTGACTTCATCGAAGCTGCGGTGGGGCTGCAGCTCCTACAGGCTGGGTATCTGGCTGAGTCCAGTCCCTCTGCGGGCCGTTCTGGTGGTTTAGGCTGCTTAAGATTTCTTTTTAACTTGAGTTTCTTTTGTGAGGTGCAGCTTGAGTTTATTTTCATTTATACCATGATTCATGGGTCAGGATTTCAGGCAGGGTTCCGCTGAGGGGTGGGCTCATGTGGAGGTGCAAGACAGCTTCCCAACATCTTGGGGGCAGCGGCTGGGAGGACAGGCTCAGCTAGGGCTGCTGACCACCGTGCCTGCATGTGGTCTTTTCAGGACGTGGGCCTCAGGCTAGCTGGCCTCTTACATGGTGTCCTAGGGCTCCCAAAGAGAAGGCTGTGGGAACAAGCAGGTCAAGAGCCCTGGAGTGAACTTAGAAGTTTGATTATTTCTAGTGTAGAAGTTCTGTTATTTTTTTCAAATGTTCTCAGTAACTTTCTATAGTATCCTGCAAATATTTCCAAGCATGTCCTTAATTTATTAAACATAGTAAGCAGAATCGTTTTACATTTTATGTCTAATGCCTTCAATATCTGAGTCTCTGAGAGTCCTTTGGATTTCTGGGGCCATTGAGGTGGTGCTTCTAATTTTCATTCATGGTATTGTATTTCCTCATGTGCTCAACCATCTTTGACTATCTGTGATCACTGTATTTGGAAAATTATTTACAGACTAATCTTTAGTCCTGGATGAAGGTATCTTCCTCCACAGAAAATCCTTTCATATTCCCACAGCTCTCCCCTAACCCACACCCTTCAACTCTGCCTTCCCTGTGGTCTGGTTCTCCTCTGGGGCCAACATCCGCACAGGCACCTTCTCCTTCACCTCGTATACGTGGGGCCCACAGAGAGTGCTGGACACCTCTGTCAGGGCAGAGCTCAGATCTCCAACCATTTTTTTTAATCCATCATATTGACAACAAAAACAAAAATAAAAAGCCTTGTCCCACCTGGATCCGTGGCACCAGCTAAACAATGTTCCAGGTCTCAGATACTGTCTTTTTTGATATACTGTACACGATTTTTGCTCCTGGTTCACAATATCCCTTCCCATCCAACTTCTGTCATCATACAGTGATGCCAACATTTATTTACACATCTACCTTAAATTCAGTGTGACCACACGTGAGTCCTGTGGACCTGCACGTTCTCTTTCCATGAATGGTGAACGTCACGACTGCTCACCCCACTGCCTGATCTGACAGTCTCTGCCTTTCTAAGGTTTACCCTCCGGTTACCCTCCGGTCAGCGCCAAGTGCCTCGTACTTGGCTCCCGCACCTCTCCTGTTCTGGTCCTCGCTGCCCTGTCAGAGTTTGGCCTGCCATTCTTCAGGTTTGGACGCGGCAAAAGACTCCCACCTGACCTGAGTGGCCCTGGGCCCACGGAACACTGAGGGTTAGCTTCCCAAGGCCTCCCCCCAAGTGCTGCTGCCTCCACCTGCCTGCACGCAGCCCACGCGAATTACCGAAACCTGGAGAGTTTCAGTGACCTAGCAAATCAGCAGTTCACTTCTTCTGTGATATTTTAGTTCCTATTAATGTTAGAAAGTCTCTATTCTTTTCATTAGTCCCACATCTTGACTGACCCCCAAACACATACTTACTTTCAGTATGGACAGATATTGATATTAAGACCAATGACAACTTAACAATTCAGGTGACAGCTGTTAGTTCCACTGCGTGGGTTGATGCTATGTTTGGGAGAACACAACCCTCTCAAATCCCATGAGGACTGACTGTTACATAAGATACATGTCCCTGCATGTCTCTTACAGAAGACCCGTCAGGGAATGGTACAAAGGTCACTTTGGAGTAGCAATACGCGTGATGAATCTCCCTGTGCGGCTGGGAAGGGTCGTGCTGGCCGTCTGGTCGGGATCTGGCCACAGGGGAGCTGGGTTCCAGAGGGGGCACATACCCAGAATCACACTGCGAGGAGACAAGAAGGCCCGCCACACACTGACAAGCACTGTGTCCCGTGAACTAATAAACTAGCAGTAACTACATGAGGAATGGGGGAGAAAGGTCATGTAGAGCCTCGGACTTTTCCACAAGAAGAGCGGCTGCCCAGCATCCAGAGCCTCCTGCAGCTTCCCTGGTCCACAGCGGCCACGTAGCCGCCGATGCCTCACATCACGCCTCAGCGGGCAGCTCAGCCCTGCCAGAGAAGCAGGGATCCCAACACGGCAAGTTGCTTTTTCAGGATGAGTCACTTCACTTGTAAAATAGGCTGATACGGGGGTGGAACTTTTTCCCATCCACCAGCTGATAACAAATATCCTCACTACGTGACTCCAGTGTGATAACATTGCAAGTGATTTAGGGAGGCCTGTGTCCTTGAGAGGCTAAAATTATAGTAGAGCTAAAGAATCCTCTTTATGAGCATGGGAAGGGTTAGCTATCAATAAATCATCCATGGAGTGAATTAACCTGGATCCCAGGGGTGACAAAAAATTATTCGAGTTCTCTTACAAACATCTAGAGAATATAACAGGCAAATCTCTGAATTCCTGGGGTCCCATTACCACAAATATTAAGAGCCTGTGTGAGTAAACACAGAGATAATTTGATTCCTCTGCTAAAGACATAGAGAAGAAAGCTGAATGTAAGCCTATTACAGAAAAACATTCGCTCACCTGAATACGGAAGGGAAGATGGTAACGAGGTCAGGGACCTCAGGCGTCAGAGGGATCGTAAATGTGTTTATTTCCCTCTGATCTCCTACAAAGCTGTAAGGTTGACCTTCCTTACCAAACTGTCCTTTCTTCCTCACAGGTGATATGGAGTCTCACAAGCCAATGGCCTTTCCTTATTATTCTCTGTTTTTCTAGTTTTCTAATTACAGGTTCTACTCCTTGTTTGTGAGCTCAAGAGAGGATGACCGTGATATCACGGTTTTACATGACCGTGATATTTCTGTGTTGTAAGCTACAGCAGGGAGATCAGTCAAATGGAGTAGTTACGGAGCCTCAGTGTTGAAGAGAGGCTTTTCAGCATACAGGGACTCTTACCTGCTCGAAGGTGACCACGAAGCTCCAATGATTTGCCCAGTGGGAAGGCTCACTCCCATACTTGTCACTAAACTTTTGAGAGCAAAAAAATAATCAAAACCCAGAGGAATGCACCAGTTCATAAATAGAGGATTAGATGATTTTATTATTTGAATACAGTCTCAAATGCATTCAGGTAGCCAGCAAACGTCTGCAAAGCGGCAGTGGATTTTGAGCTCCACTGACAGGGAATTAAAGCTACGTTATTACCCATCATTCCACTCTCAGTAAACAGTCAGGGGTCTTTCAGTTTGTAGCAGCAGTTGCACGGAGCCTGCCCTTACGGTCTGTTCCTCTAATTCCTTATCAGGCTTATTGTGCATCCTATCTCCACCAGTCCTCACCATCACCTCTGGGACCACCCTGACGGTGCACCTGGCACGTATGCGTAGTCACCTCCTTCATCAGCACTCAGTAGCGTAACTTGTGTCCCAAACTCCACCTCAGCAGCTGCTGCCAGAATCCAGCCAGTTGCTCAAGCCAAAATCCCAGAAGTCACCCTGGTTTTCTCTCTTTTCCACCCGAGCCTCCCACACCCAGGCCATCGGCTAGGACCAGGGGCTCTGAACCAAACTTTGCTCACATGATACCTTCATGTCACCCCCGCCCCGTATGAGCCATGACCACCCCTCACCACGGCAGTGGCCCTATGGCTAGGCTCCTGCTCCCCATCTTCCTTCCTAGAGTCTCCTTTCCTTTCCTAAAGCACCAACTTTATAACAGATAAAAATCATATAATCAGTGTGTCCTAACAGACGTGTCTTCTGTCCATCGGAGTTACCAAAGCACCACACAGTCCTTGGTTTGAGAGGGGATTTATTGTTTTTTTTAACCAGCAGCCATGGAGTTAATTTGCAGTCAACTCTTCTTGCTTGGGAATAAAGGCCCATAAATGGTACACCATACATTTGAGTCAGTTTTTAATTGCTTAAAATACTTTATGAAAAAGTAATTCAACTCAAGCTTTTTCCATATACAAGAGGCACCTCTACACAGCCTGGCACTTTTAGCACCCAGTAGGGCAACTGCTATTACAGGAAAAGGTGGAGTTTCTCAGCCCAAGACACATCAGGCCCCCCCGACCACCCCTGCCTCCTTCCCAGGACCCTCCACAACCCCTTCTCCGCTGCAGCCAGCGAGGCACCAGGAACGGTTCCCTCCAATTGTTCCCCACGCATCAAGGTGATGTCATGTGGCAAAGCTGACCACTCTGGGGTGAGCAGAGGTACAGGCCTGGGTCTCTCCCATCACCCAGTAGGACAACTGCTATTACAGGAAAAGGTAGAGTTTGAAATTTTTCCAAATTTTTTTCGATATAGTTTTTTGATACGTACTTGAAATGACCTGACAAAGTGACCCAAAAGAAGCTAGTTTGCTCTTGTTAGAGTGCGGAGCTAGGTTGCAGGTGTCCCAATCTTAAATTCCTTGAGGTTTTAACCACTCCAGGTAGACACCTAACAGAAATTGAAATGGGCCCTGGTTGGTCATCAATCTAAAAATAGCACTAAAAACTGAGAAAGTAAAATTGCATTTGCCCACATGCCTCTCTGCCAAAGATCTAGCAAAACATCATGTTTTATGGTCTTTTAAGGAAACTGAAATTGGAGCTAGAGTGCCTGACACAGAAATCAATTGGTCTCCATCACTTTTAATGCATAATTAACAGTGGGTCAGCCAGCACCACCCAAGGCAGTGAGCATTCGTCCACTGAGAACTTCAGCAACGGCCAACGAGAAGCTTCTGCCAGAGGCCCCACGGGTGCACGGAGCCTGCAGGGGGAGCACAGCCTAGAGCTAGTTGGCCAGCTGTGATTCCTGATTCTCCACAGTGTGAGGATAACTAGACAGACCCACAGGGGTCATGCCAGACATGAGTCAGCAACTCAAAGGTGACTGTGCCTCAATCACCACTCTCGAGGTGGGCAGGGCAGGGGTGACGTGAGGGTCCGCTACTTTGAAGCCCCTCAGGAGCCATCACAGCATGACCTGTCCAAGTGACTGTGAGGCTCTGTCTTCCCCCAGGGCTGGGGCACCCAGGACACAGCTGGAATAATGTAGCCAAGTCTCACTTCTGCTTCTGGACAGGACTCGGGGGTGCTACTGATACCTGTGTCCCACTGCAGACGACGGGGCCCCACCTTGAACTCCTGCTCGAGGCAGCAACACTAGGCTGCTTGCTGCCCAGAGGCAGTGGTGTTAGGCACACAGATGGGCGTCTTACCCCAAAGTTGCCAGCCACCCCTGAGGTGGTCTGCTCACAAGGCCCTGGCGCACAGGGAACAGGCTTACCTGCTAGAGCGGTCAGAATGGTTCCTTCTGGAATCTGGGTTGGGAGGTCCGTTCAGAAGGATGAGAACAAGAAGTGGGTACTGTGAGACGAACAGGGGCTCACCCTAAGTGGTCCTCCAGTGGCCGTCCGCAGACAGTCCAGCCATAGTCCTCCTGGGACTCGGGGGGGACCCTGCATGTCTGCTCCCAGCCCCCATACAAGCTCAACTTTCATCAAGGGGACCATCGGAGCCATGTTCACAGGAGTGGGACACCCCCTCTCGGCTTGGACTCTAAGCAGGATGGAGGGCTCCTTGCCTCAAATGCCACTCCACGGCACAGAGAGAAAAATGGCAGCTTCAGCTGAGAACACAAGCAGAGGGATAAAGAGCGTCCACCTCTAGCCATCCAGAGCCTGACAGACAGACAGACCCAGCGTTCAGTGCGCAGAGGGCGCTGGAGGACAGCAGGCTCGCCGTGGTGGTCAGGAGGTAAGGACTGGGCCCTGCGAGCCCATCCAGGGGCACATCCAATGTAAGAAAGCCACGACTAGCCGCCGCCCGAGCGAGCGGTCGGCACCAGCCTCCAGAGCAGCGGGGCACGTGGAGGACACGTGGAGGACACGTGGAGGGCACGGCAGGGCCCAGCAGCTGACGGGAGAGCACCAAACACGCCCCAGGTGTTCTTCTGTTTCAAGTGTTCTGTTTGCCAGGGATGGTCCAGGCTGATGCCTGGGTGCAGGGGCAGCTGCCATCATCGGCAGGCAGCCAACGGGGAGGACAGCAGTTAGAGGAAAGGAAGGCAGTGCCCCGGTTCAGGCGCCCCGCACGGGCCAGCTTTCCCCACCCTGCTGGCTGCCGTGGGCTGTGTGGCCTGTCGCGCCCTTGGGAAGGCACTGGGGCTCTGGGGGAGGTGACGCGTCCACAGCTGCACAGCTGGCAGGTGGAAGGGCTCTCCTGGTGTGTTCTGAGCTCGGCGCTCAGGCTGTGTTGCAGGCTCCACACTTCCAGACTTCATGCAGCAGGTCCAGGTGGCGTGTCCTAAAGCCATCCAGAGGTCATTGTGCTGGGCATCCAGGGAAGTGTTGACTGAACCCAGTGATTTGGGGAAGACCACGCACATTACACTCCTGGAGGGTCAAAATGCACACCCACATACTAGCCCCAGCCGTCCCCCCGCCAGGATTGGAGTCTGCTCAGATAGCAGTGCTGAAGGCCAGCGCCCCCCGAGCAGAATCCTCACCCTGCCTGCACCTGCTGGGGTCCCTGCACACACTCTGCTTTCCTTCCCTCTCCCGTGAAGTGGGCTGGTCACTGCACCTGCCCTGTGCGGAGGGCGAGCGGATTCTGTGCAAAGTATGTGCAGCCGTCTCTGCAGCATCGTGTGGCAGCCTCCAGGGCTGGGGCGTGGGATCCATGATGCTGACCTCAATACTCTGAGATGTATGCCTAGGAATCTTCACAATGATAAAGCATAGCTTTCAAAGCAGTAAAACCGTGCTTCCCAGAAAGATATAAACACTTGACAAAGATTTCATTTAACTCATTAATTAATGAGAGAACCAGATATTAAGAAAGATTCAAATGAAATTGGCTTACCCAGAAGCTGTTCAACATGGCACCGTAGGAAAGTCCTACCTTACTGCAGACCGCTGGCCAGAGCAGGGCCACCCGGCAGACCACCTGCTGGCACTGGATCCACCGGACACAGGGTCACCCAGCAGGCTGCCAACGGGACTTAGAAGCCTCTGCTTTGTCAGGCCCTCATCTGTAACCACATTCGTACATAAGAACAGGGCGCAGATGCAGGATGGAGCTGGTGCCTCCCCAGGGCCTCTTCATGCTCCCCTTTCTCGGCCTCTCGCCATCGCCCCTGAGATCCGGTCTGCATGGCCGGTGCCCCCTCCCGCTGAGTCTGAGGGACGGCGAGTGCCCTTCACCCCTGGGCCCCCAGGACATGATCCTGTCCTCCTCCTCAGTCCCCTTCCCCACTGCCCTTTGCTAGTTCCCCAGCCTCCGTGTAGGGAAGAGCCTTGGGATCCTCTCTTCCGAGCCAGCACTGCAGCCTGCGTCCCTCAGGCCCGGGCCCGGGAGGTCCATCCAGGTGGCCCAGGGGCTGCCGGGTTCCTGCCCTCGAAGCCCAGCTCTCTCAGGCAGAGGCCGGTAGGGCCCAGGGAGCCTCCACGGACCGCACTGTGGGCCAGCAGCCAGAAGCCCACGTCCCCGGGGAGAAGCCTGCTTGGCTTTCTTGCGGGCCGCCTGCGGCTTCTCCTCCAGCAGGTTCTAGCTGGGCTGCTGGTTTTCCTGATGCAGCAGCAAGAGCTCCCATGCCAGTGCTCCTTCCACCACATGCCATCGGCTCCCCTCCCAGTGAGCTGTGTGCCAGGTGCCCAGGCCTCGAGTTAGCAGGGCTGGGACTAGGGGAAGAGGCTGTGTGCTTTCCAAGTCAAAGGTGACCGCCTCCCCCGCTCTCCCGGGACATCCCCCTTAGCTCCCAGGTGCCTGGCTGGGGGCCCAGCCAGCAGCCCTCTGGACCACCGTGCACAAGGAGCCTTTCAGATGATACCAGCTGCTTGCCAGCAACCCCCAGAGAAACGGAACCACTAAGGTGTGCCTCCACACGCACACAGTTATCTTAAGGAGTTGGCTCATGAGACTGGGAGCTGGCAAGGCGGGGCAGGCAGAACCAGGGCCTAGAGGAGATGCCGGGCAGTCACGAGCCCAGCTGCAGTCTGGAGGCGGGATTTCTCCCTCCTTGGGCCACCTGGATCCTTTCTCTTAAGGCCTTTAACTGAGAGGGCCAGGCCCACCCACATATGGAGGGTAATTTGCTTTATTCAATGTCTACTGATTTAAGTTCTAATCACATCTAAACACTACCTTGACAAGGACATCTAGGCTTGAGTCTAATTAAACATCTGGGGGCTACAGCCTAGCAGAGGGGACATATAAAATCAACCACCATACATCCTCCAACAGCAAATGCACGAGGGACCCTGGGAGTGAGACCCGCTGAGCGGAGCCCACCCGACTCCAGAGTCCTCATGGATAGCAACAAGCCAACAGCTGCCTTCGGTTACACTGTGGGGCTCCCTGTCACGCAGCCATAGCTGACTAGAACACAGCCCAAGCTTCACCCCCAAACACCTTGCCTCCCCAGGAAATTTTTCGGCAGTTAAACTGCACGACTGCCTTTGTGCTCACCACCCAGGGCACACGTTTCCTGAGCCCCAGGTCTCGACTGGACTGAGCACAGGGCTGCCGGCTGGCTCTGTGCTGCTCCTCTCACTGCCCTGCCAGGCCTCAGTCTCCCTTCCTCACAACAGTGCGGCTTTTCCACATTTGTGCTCCCAGTGCTGGCCGCATGTGATCAGCGTGCGTTCACTGAGTAACTAAACGAGATGCCCAGAGGCTCCGGCCAGCAGGAGGTGCACCGGGAAGCAGGTCCTCACGCCGCACTGCGCTCCCTCCCGTGACCAAGAGGAGCAGGTGGTACAGGCGAAGAGCTCACATCCTGTGTCCCTCCAGCCCGGCATCATCCCGACTCCTCAGGGAGTCCATGCACAGCGAGGGCCCACAGAGGGCTGACCCCGAGTGTGCGATACTAGATGACCAGGGCCACCCAGGCTGCGAAGCTGTCCCTCTGCCTGTCCAGTTCTGCTCCTAGAGTGGAGGCTCCCGCAGGAAGCAGAACCAAACGCCTCCCTGAAAGCTGCACCTCTGGGTCTCCGAGGTCTCCTGGGCTCCTGTCCAGGCTCCTCCAGCAGCCACCCAGCCCAGACCAGGTCCAGGAGTGCAACGGTGGGCACAGCAGGAAGTGCAGGCTGGCTGGGAAGGCAGATGGTAGACAAGGAAGGCAGATGGTAGACAAGGAAGTCTCGTCTCCTGCCTGGAGTAATAAACAAATCAGGGTGAGAGTGACAGAGGCCTCCGGAGATCAGAGCCATCTGACAAGGTGACACTGAGCAGAGAATGAAAGTGTGAGAGAATGTGAGGACCTTCTGAGAGGGTGCGGAGTCAACTTGAAGGCAGAGGCTACGCAGGGACGAGTGGGACGGCACCCTCACGCCCCGAGAGGGTGCGCGGAGGAGGAGTCAGTGTCTGCTGGGGGGCTGAGCCTCCCCTGGGAGGGGACGGTGGGTGCCTGGCGTTCGCACAGAGCACGTCACCGAGAGCGGCCGATCGCCACCACTGGGCACTGGCAGATGGTGCCCAGGTGCGTGCAGCTCTGTGTGTCCCCAAGCCCGGGGCGCGGATCCACCCCACCTCCCTGGAAAGTGGCTGGATTCTACCTGACAGACAGGGACAGCCCGGGAGGATGTGGCCAGGTAAACACTCACAAAGTGACTTCCTCTTCTCATAATCACCAGGGCTCCCTGCCTCCAGGCAGGTATGAGCCAGAGAGGGCAGCACCCGGCCCCGGGGAGGCCCCAGAAATCAGTCTCACCCAAGGAGAAACCCGGCAGCACAGCCTGCTTCCTGTGTGCCCTAAAGCTCGTCTCTCACCCCACACCCAGCAGTGCAGACGGTCACTGGCATATCACGTGGACACGCATGGACTGGGACCTCACATCGTGACAATTCCAAAAGGTCCTAACTCGTTCTATGTGCACAAGAGGCCATACAATGCAGCACAATGAAAAACAATTTTACAGCTTTGAGGAGAAATAGCACATGCATTCGAATTCTGTGACTTTGAGCAAGCTACTTACCGCCCCTCACCCCCAGTTTATTTCTTTAGAAAATGGGTAACAGAGCCCACTGCACGGGTATGTGGTGAAATTGGGTGATATCACAGATGTGCAGCCCCAGCTCCACCCTGTTTACCACCAGGCCCCACTGGCATAAACTGGCATGGACAGGGGTCAGGGCAGGAAGGATGGCCCAAGGGCAGCCTGGGGTAGCCCCACCCCCAGGACAGCCGTGAGGCCACGAGCACAGACACCAGAGGAACACAGGAGGGTCCTCTGTTCACTATCAGCAGCCGCAGCAGGTGACCACTGCCAACCACTGTCGAGGTGTGCAGGGTCCCCTGGTTCCCCCAGCATCTCCAGGAGGAAGGCACGGATGACCCCAGCCCAGAGCCAAGGCCAGGCCAGGCCAGGCCAGGCGGCTCCTTGCCCAGGCAGCAGAGGCCCCCAGTGTGGCCCGGCGTCCTGCAGACTTACGGTGGGGCCTCAGCTGCAGCCTGGCTCTCTGCTCCCTGGGACAGCACAGAGACCCAAGGGTCAGCCAGGCACCGGCTGAGGCCACGCTGCCTCCCACACTGGGTCACTGGGCCTGGCAGCTGACCTCTTCCAGACCCTGCTTCCTCTGTAAGGTGAAGACAGTAGCAGCCGGCACCTGGAGAGGGGTCCCTAGAGAAAGTGCTAGCAGCCCCCAGGTGGTCCTTGGCCCCTCCCTCAGAGCACACCAGGGGCCTTGCAGCTGCTCTGACCTAGGGCTGGCACAGCCCGCCCCACCCCCCATGTCTCCACTCTCTCGGCTCCTGGCGCCCAGCCCCCACCCCAGGGGTGTCCCTGCCCAGCAGCCGCAGCAGGCCCCTCGCTCAGAACTAGGTGCCCAGCCCCGCCCGCCTGCACAGACACAGCCCTCTGCTGTCTGGAGCTGGTCAGGGGGCACCGTCTACCACGGAGGGAGGGATTTTTCAGTCACTGCTATCCCTCAACAGGATTTATGAGGTTGTCACAAGGTGACATAGAAATGTTCACCAACGTCAAGGGCCTGCCTCCTGACACCTATGTCTTACAGTAAGCGATGGATGCAGACAGTCTTGGCTTCACAGAAAAATGATTCTGACGTGATTATTAAACTCATGAAGTAAGTTTTCCACATGTATCCACTCACAGGGCCTGCAAGTCCCCCAACAAAAGGCTCTCTGAGATCCCCAAGTCCCTGTTATGGCCCCTACGTGGGTGCCTGCTCCCTAACTCCCAGCCTGTCCCACCAGGCACGAGGGGAAGGATGGCAGTGGGAAGGAGGTGGGGGGCGGAGGAGGCTGCCTGGGCCAGGCCGCACCAGCACTCCGCTTCCCAGGGCCGCACGCAGAGGCAGTGCAGCCCGTCCTGCCGCCCTGCTGGTGCCCGGAGGCGGCTCGGGCAGTGTGCTCACCACGGTCCGCTGGGGAACTTCAGGCAGCCTTCCTGTGGGGCCCCCAGGGCACGGCGCTCACTCTGCTGTGGGCTCCTTCTCTAAGTCAAAGGGAAGCACAGCCAGGCAGCAGGAGCCAGGGCGTGGGGGTCAGAACCCTACCCGCTGCCGTCACAGGAGCCCTGAGGCATGGCCCCAGGGCAGGCTCCGCAGAGACCCCTCCTCGGCATCCAGTCGGCAGCCAGGCACAGAGCCCGCCCAGGGCTGTGACTGCCGCATAAGGCCTGTCCTGGAGAAGCAGGTTGAATCTCCGTGGGCTGTGGGGTATGGCAGGGGCGGCCCCATCCCCACAGACCCGTGGGAGCACCTGCTCAGCTCTACTCCCTGGACAGCACGCCAAGACCACCCTTTAGCAGACCGGGTGGGACGGGGCCCGAGCCTCAGGAGGCAGAGGTCTGTCTGCCCAGCCCCCCAGCCCACCCACGTCACCAAGCCTGCCGGTACCTCAGCGCAGACCAGGCGCCCCAGGCCTCGCCCAAATGGGCAAGTTTTGACTAAGGAGTATAAAAGCAGAAGTGTCATCTCGCCCTGGACCGCCCCTTCTCCCAGGCCCAGCCCACCCACCACAGCTACCACCCCAGGCAGGCCGGGCGCTTCCTGTCCAGTCCTACAGGAACTCCACTCACCCAGACGGCTCACGTGGAGGGCAAGCTCCCAGGGACGCACAGCTTGGCAGCCAGCCACGTCGGGGCTGGGGGAGCAGAAGCCCCAAGACAGAGCCCAGCAGGGAGGCAGCAAGAGACGCTCACCATCTGCTCCCACTGTCCCGCGGGCACGGCACTGGCCAAGCCCACCTGGAGGCCCACAGGCAAGGGTACCCCAGGGGGTGTGCAGAGGGTGGCCCTGCGCAGCCTAGGGGAAAAGGGATCCAGGTGGGAACAGAAGGAGAACAGAGTCTCCCCAAAAACAGCACCCGTCCTGACACCCACAGGGCCTGGGGCAGTCAGGACTCTGCTTGATTGTTTCAGTGTATTTTCTACCATAATCCCACCCACGTAGGGTCATGATTTCCTCTTCACGGTAAGTGAAACCGAGGCAGAGAGGCACAAACTACCAAAGGCTAGTCACAGGTGGACATGGTGGCTTCACCCGGACACTGTCCGCGGGCGGGAGGCAGAGGGAAAGTGGCTCTGCTGGCGCTCACAAGGCGTCCCGGTGGTGGGACGTGGGCCAGGCCCGCCTCTGCCCACAGGGTCCCAGGTTCCAGCAGAGGAAATGACCTGGGAAGCCTGGGAAGCGACCAGAAGTGGAAGAGCCGTGGGCAGGTCCTCAGCAGGGGCCACTGGGCAATGGCCTGAAGTCAGCCCCGGACCACCAGCTCTCCTGGGTGAGCCTCAGCTGTAAGACAGCCAGGATGAATGGAGAGGGTGCGTGAGAACTCTGGGCACCGACAAAGGCCACTTCCTCCCATGTGTCCCTATCCCCCGCAGGGGGCGTGACCACCTCTGAGCCAGGCCACAGATACGAGGGTCTCTGGAGGTAACCCAAGGCTGACGTTAGGGGTCTCTCCCAAGATTGTTTAGCAGCTTGGAGGAGTCTGGGCACAGTGGCCTCCCAGGACAGCAACAGGACAGGAGCCAGATGGCGCCGTACATCTGCCACTCTGGCAGTCCCGTGACCTTGAGCCAAACACAGCCCTCTGTGCCTCAGTTGCCTCAATATAAGATGTAGTGCCATAAGCAAGACTTTCCAAAAGTGACACAGGGGCTCCTTCCAGGCTGCCCGAACAGTGAGCCAGGTGGGGGCAGGTGCCCCCGATCCCAGGGGGAGGGGATTAGCCAAGCTCCACTTCCTGCCAGACCGCCGCCTCTAGGCGCTGGGGGGCCGGGGTTCCAGGCAGTTCCGATAAGCAGCTGGTCCCACAGACCCAGACTGAACGTGTCTGCTCACACTAACCAGGGAAGCTGCTCTCACTCTTGTCCTAAAGGAGGGGTTTCACCAGGGCAGGGCCCCCTCTGCAGGGACACTAAGGCACCCCGGCCGTGGCGCCTGCCCCCGTGGGAAGGCGGGAGGATCAGGAAACCGTGCCTTCTCTTCTTGTCCTCTGTGACCATCCCCAGAAAGGCATACACTGTGAAACTGGCCCCAACCCAGGCACGCGACCTGTGAGGTGGGGACAGAGTATACTGAGCTGAGCAGGATGACGGACACGGCAGGTCCTCCCAGCAGGGGCTGGGCTCAGTCAGTCCGTCAAGGAACACTCGCACAGCATCTATGGGATGCCGGACCTACCTAAAGCAGGTGACAGGGCAGGGCACCGAACAGGCCAACCGTCGGCCTTTTCTGGATTCTAGCGAGGTGGGACAGGCAATAAATGGACAGATTAAGCATGTGAAATCATTCTAAGATCTTAGGGGAAAACATACAGCAGTGAACATGGGCATGGGGAGGGTGCACATGTCAACACCCCCCCGCCACCAGGGCTTCCTGTGGACTGACTGTGGTGAAACAATATTCTGGGGAGCCCCAACGCTCCACAGCTCCAGACGACGGAGGAGGGAAAGCAGGACCTCACTGCACACGGATGACGCCAGGCAGTGCCGCAGTCAGAGAACTCCTCTAACTCGGTGGCAGTGGAAGCGGCCTGATGCCCCAGTCACCCCCTTCCTTTCTGTATGTCAGCCTCCTAAACAGCGTGGCTTTAGCGATCTAGTGGTAAATGCCCCTGGGAAGCTTCTCCCGCACACCCATACAGTTGATTTACTATTTCAATTAATCTTGACTCTTCCTCTTTCACAATTTAGGCGGCTTCTTTTAAAGCAAGACATCTTTGGAAAGTAAATGGGCACAGGCATAAACATCGGTTAATTTATCTATGTTTGCTGTAGATAATTTCATATCCCTGAAGTGTCTCGGCCCCTTTTCTGGCCAGCAGGAGGGTCCCCCCCAGCATACGGGGTGACAGCCCCTACCTGCCTGGCCAAGGAGGGCATCCCTAATGTGCCTTGTTGACTTTGGGACGCCATAGTTTCAGAGGCCCAGGTAAAAGAGAATGAGGCAGAAAACAGGCATCTCCCCCAGAGAAGGGAGCTGGACAGCCAGGACGCGGGGCTTGGGGACGGCCGGAAGTCTGAGGGAAGCGGCAGGCAGCAGGCAGCCAGCAGCTGTGCCCCGTGTGGTCAGCCCAGCTGGCATGAAGGTTCCCGTCGCCAACAGAGCTAAACTAAGCTTGGCCCAGGACTCGTTGGTGTTCTTGAGGAAAAGCATGGACGTCCCGACTTTACCCACTTTCTAGATCCTGGGATAAAACCTGAGGCAGTGTATTTCCATGTAGGTTAATGAAGTCCTGCTACCAGTTTCCTGCTTGCTTGGTGGGGAAAGCTGGGAGGAGGCTGCCATGAGGTGGGGAACCCACCTGCCTGAGAGGCCTCCTGTGTGGGGTGCCTGAGGAACAGAAGATGCTCCCTCCCTGAGCACCCAAGGGCACCAGGGCAGACAGAATGGGCGTACACAGACCCACCACTTTCCTGCCTCCCATGCCTGCCCTCTCTGGCCGAAATTACCAGAGCAGCCCCCTGGCCCCCCTGCCCCTGGGCCTTCCCTTCAGCCACCTCTCCTCCCTCCACACCCTGGTGGCTCTCACTGCCCCAGGACAAAGCCCTGCTGCCTCTCATGGCTTCAGTGGCTTCCTGACGGTGCCTCTCTCCCTTGTTCCCCTTCCCCGAGCCCAGCCTCACTCAGCAGTCATCAGGACAGCCCGGGCTTCCAGCCACCTGCAGGCCGAGGCTCAGGCCGAGGAGATTCTCCCACCCCCCACGCCTGGCCAACCCACACCCGCACTCGAGGTCAGGTCACGGTCATGCCATCTGCAGCCACCGTGCCCTGGGTCCACCTTCCCCCAGCCTCCTCCTTGACCTTGTGCTCCCCCTGGGTGTTCGCATGCCCTGGGCTCGCCTTCTAGACTCCTTGTCCTGCCCTGGAATCTGGTTATTCTCTCCCTGCACCACCAAACTGTGAGCTCCTTGGCCACATCTCCAGAACCAGCCCGGCCTGGACCAGCCAGTAAACCACAGACACCTGTGAAGGACAGTCTGGACAGATGGATGGTCGGACAGACAGAATGCTTAAAGGGACAGGCCCAGTTACTCACTCTCAGGAAACTAAGTGTCAGTGACCCCAAAAGTTGAAATATCATTTTATGTATCATAATAGGTAATACAAGCTATTCTGTAGGCTCTGCTATAGACTTGCTAGATGACCTCGGCAAAGCCATTTCCCCCTATGAATTCCGTTTCCTCATACGAGCACGCTACGCTGATTTCCAGATGCTATAAGACGGTGGATGAAAATAACACACCCCTCGAATACAAAAATCAAGAAATACCAGATTAAGTATGACAATTTTTGAATGCATGCCCAAGCTCATAAGAAATAAAGGACAATCTTGACATACAAGAAACCAACACACCCTGATGTCTATCGGCTGATGCTGTGAGTGCCCAGGTGGTGGGTTGGGAGGGGTCTGGACCCATTTAATTAGAAGCTTAAGCGGTCATTTCTACCCACAACCCATCAACGTGGAGATGACACAATTTTTCTAAACTACAGAATTTTGGCACATAAATAGAATTTCCTGAAATGAAACATAAACACCATAAACATAAACTCAGAATGGATTAAAGACATAAATACAAGACCTGAAACCATAAAAACTCCTATAAGAAAACATAGGCAGTAAACTCGGACATCAGCCTAAGCAATATTTTTCTGGATACAATTCCCCAGACAAGAGAAACAAAAGCAAAAATAAACAAGTGAGACTACATCAAATTAAAAATCTGCTGCACAGCAAAGGACACCATCAACAAAAGGTGACCTACTGAACGGGAGGAGATACTTGCAAATGAACTACCCAATAAGGGGCTAACATCCAAAATACATGAAGAACTAATACAACTCAATACCCCAAACACAAATAATCCAATTTAAAAATGGGCAGAGGACCCAATAGACATTTTCCCAAACAAGACAAACAGAATGGTCAACAGACACATGAAAAGATGCTCCACATCACTAGTCATCAGGGAAATGCAAATCAAAACCCCAGTGAGGTGTCCCTTCACACCAGTCAGAAGGGTTATTATCAGCACAAGAAACAACAGTTGTTGGCGAGGATGTGGAGGAAAGGGACCTCCTACACTGCTGGTGGGAATGTAAACTGCAGTCACTATGGAAAACAGTATGGAGGTTCCTCAAAAAATTAAACATAGAAATACCATTATGATCCAGTAACTTCACTTCTGGGTATTTAGCCAAAGAAAAGAAAAACGCTAATTTGAAAAGACACATGTACTTGTATGTTTATTGCATCATTACCTACAACAGCCAAGGTACAGAAACAACCTAAGTGTCCATCAGTAGATAAATGGATAAAGAAGATATGGTACACAAAGAAGATGTGGATATACACAATGGAATTATTACTCAGCCACAAAAAAAGAACAAAACCTTGCCATCTGCAACAACATGGATGGACCTAGAGGGTATTGGGTTAAGGGAACTAAATCAGACAGAGAATGACAGATACCTTATGATTTCATTTATATGTACAATGTAAGAAAACAAAAACTCCAGAAACAGACTCATAAATGCAGAGAACAAACTGGTCAGTAATATAATATCTTTGTGTGGTGACAGGTGTAACTACGTGTATCATGGTGAGCATTTTGAAATGTATATAATTGTTGAACCACTATATCATACATATTGTAAACCTGGAACCAATATAATATTGTATACCAACTATACTTCAATAAAAAATAAAAATAGCCCTCCAAAAAGAAAAAAGATTGCACACAGAAGAAAAAAGAAGGGGTGTGAGAACAAGGATGAGCAAAGCTGTTAATTGCAATACCCAACGTAGCCAC